TCCGAACCCACGACCATCCGCGTCCCGAGCGCGCGCTCTACCAACTGAGCCAATGAGGCTTCTGTAGAGCTAATGCTTATCTCCGCTGTGGCTCACACCCCGAAACATATGGCTGGCAGAGGGAAAAGGGTTCCGTCGACTAGATTCGAACCTGCGACTGTTTGCGTACCGGCCCATCACCACATCAGGTGCCGCACGGCTGTAAAGTCATGGCCAGCGGAGCGCTAAAATTATCACCCGGCCGAGATTCGAACCAATGACCAGATTCATACCGGGCCCGAACGCTACCGACTTGGCCACGACGGAGCGATGAAGAGCACAACTTTCAGCGTCATCTTGGTCTAAGCTGTGACCGACGCCCGAAGACACTTAGCCAGGAGAGCAGGGAAAAATAACCGCGGATGGGTTTCGATCTAGCGACCACCCACACGATCTGCCAACGATGACGCTTTAACACGCTCGGCTATCAGCTTGCTCCTACGGGGCTGAGGTCTAAGCTCGGTCATGCCTAACGGGAGACAAGACGCGACAAAAAAAAAGTTTGCCCCGGCCGGTAGTCGATCGCAGGGCCGACAGTTTGGGTTCGGAAAAAGCTGCATGTGGCCGTTGCAAGATCCCTAGTCGGCTCGTATTAAGCTGACTCTGGCCACCGAGTTTGTGGTGTAGTTTGGACCACGAGGGAAGGACCACCTTCCCTCATATTGGTTTTCTAACAGTTGCGATCTCACATTGTTATTTTTCATAATATTTGGTTTTGCTAACTCCTCTGCAGGTTGCTTTGGTTCAACACTGCACGCGGGGGATCGTCGACGGCGAGGTGTCGGTGGCCGTGGTGGCCGGCTTCATCTGCGCTGTGATGGCGGCCGTCGTCGGCGCGCTGCTAGCGCTGAGGGCCTTCGGGAAGTTCGCCCTCATCTGAAAGCACGAGCGCGGGCAGGGTGCGCGTCCCGCGCAGACTTACCTGGTTGAAGCTACGACCGAAACGGCCCCGAGAACGCCTTACAAGAACCGACCGTCGACTAAATCCCCAGCGTCACGAATGTTAATTAGAGGGAGTCCCCCCCCCCCCGGCCGCCTCCTTCGATTTTCGGACAACTGTTGGGTCTGAATTTTACTGGCTGCTGTTGGGTGTATGGCCACAGGCACGGCCGAGCGCACCCAGATATAGCTCCTCTGCTGAGGATACAAGCGCCTGGTGGGTAGGCCACCCAACTGTCGTCGAAGTGATCGTGTCGACTGTCCACTGCGGTGCGCCAGCCATGCAGTCTGCGCTGCGAGTGAGTGTGATTTTGATAAACCAGAAGATAACCTCGACTGTCACTTTCGCTGACTGTCAAGACTGCAACCTTGGTGGAATATACTCGTTGATCTCGTGACGTCAGTAGCGTCACTCCTTTATTTTTAAGAATTTAGCATCATCTGGTGACTACTGTAACTGTAAATCTAAAGTGTGGATAAGTGAAATAATTCGCACATGGCTGTGTTACGGCTAGTCACAGCCTAATTGCATACATTGTACATAACCATCATATAGAACAAATACTGTCATCTCCATCAATGTTTGTGTTGGTAAAATGTCTAAGAGTGGTGCAATCTCATAATTATAGCCATGTACTGAAATTGTGATATGTGTGCCAAATAAAGTTGCGCTAAGTAATAGTCTTTCATTGATATTTCATGGAGAGGGGGTATGAAATGGCATCACTTGACTTTGGAGAAATTGTATTCAGAATTCATTCACATAGTTAACTCAAATCATGAGGTAAGAAGTAACCAGTCAACATAAATAGAAAAGGTGTTACAATTTATTTCTCCTAAAATTGGATACCTATCTCAGGTCTTGTATACAATGATCTGCATCAATGTCTCTCCCCATCCTCCAGTAAAAATAAATACAAAAAATGGTCTGACACTTATTTACAATCAATTCTTCATAAAAGCAGAAAGCCACAGGGGCTAACAGGACATGTTTAGAAATTTCATGACTTGAATTTGGTTAGTCACACCTGCAAACAGAAGAAAAGAGTCAAAACCAAAATATATAAATAACAAAATGTGCCTAAGAAATGTTCAAAAAGATGCCAATGTCTCTTTTCAGGGAAATACTAGAGCAAAATGGGATCATCACTGATCAGGTATGAATTCTCATCACGGGAGACAAGACAAGTTTGCCATTGGAGAAATATTACATCCAATTATCAGAAATCAGGATAGAGGTTACAGCATTTAAGCTACAGAAAATTAAGAGAATTGCTGACCATACTTACACATAATAAACTGCAGTCGACAATTAAAACTTCTCCTCCTCCAAACCATGCTTGAAGAACATACAGACTGGTACACTGTCGCCATCAATGTCACGGTACTCAACCATAGCAACCATGCCATCAACATCCATAGATTCACCAGTGAAGAACTGGAGATCCTTAAATCTACCAAGAACATCCTTCATGTATTTGTTAATGTTGTTCTTGAAAACATCAACCTGCTCGGGGTCACGCTCCTGAAGCTTCTCCACCAGCCTGAGAAAATCAATTAGAAATCATGTAGAAAACTAGCATGGATGGCAATTGCAGAGAAAATTAAGAATTAGACAAGAAAAATTAACATCCAAAATGGCAACTTACTTCTTCATGTAATCCTTGAGGTAGAGGGTGTAGGATTTCTTGTCACCAAATGCGAAGCATTCTGTTAGCCTGTGGTTAAGGACAACATCGACTCCAGATTCCACAGCTTCATCAGAACCCTCATCGGCCTCCTCAGCTGAGGGGTTGGCACCGTCAATCACAACGTCGCCTTGTTTACGTTGAACCAGCTGAAAAGTAAAAGAACAGATTAGCACAATAATTATTACTTCAAGCATTTTGGAATGCAATTAGTACACAAGGTGTGTTGGCCTATTTCTGCATATGTAGAAACTATTATAGCGATCCACACATCAACATAGAACGAGTGATCTAGCATACGATGCTCCGAACAAACTATTGAGCATGCCCGGTATTAGTGTATGCACAATGGTACAAGCATAACTAAGTTGTTGGCCTATTTCTGCATATGTAGATATACTGAACATCTACACATCAACATAGGTCTTTTCTATAGCATACATTGCTCCAAGCAAACTATAAAGGGTACTCGGTATTAGAGTATGCAGAAAGATCATAGATCTGATTCATTCAAACTTACCTTGCCAGTAACTTCGTACATGACCTCATCGACCAGCTTGAATTTGTAGGTGTCTGAGAACATCTCATCACCTGCAACATAAAATGTGGAATTAAAGTATTTAAAGGCAGCTAGGTAGCCAAACACCCAAAAGAAGGGACTTGACTGAGTGATGAATAGAAGAGTTCAGTAGGTAACATACGGAACCTAACCTCATCTTCACATTGAAATCGTAACAGAAACGTCAAAACTAACCACAATTTCAAACGGCCAAACATGAAAACGTAAGTAACTTAAGAGTCAACTCATCAAAGATGTGTCATTTTAATTAAGTGCAAGACCGGTTCGTATACCACTCCAGACGTCAAAGTCAAAAACGTAAACATTACACAAAAGTCATTGGTTTGGGACGAGAAAAGGGAAGATTGCCAAGTGACAAACATTTCAGAGCGATTTTCGAAGCAAGTATTCGTATGAAAATTAAATGAATAAAGAATAAGGAGAACAACCTGTGGACGTCACTGGCGCAGATGGCCATGCCCAAATACACTATTTAAAATTTTGACAAAGTTGAAGAGTGACCACGAAAAATCTGGCATCACCATCTTCAGCAGAAATTCACGAACAAATCTTACCGGTAATGATATCCTTATAGATCCTCATTTTGGAAGATGGGGAAAGATATTAACGCCGCGACGGGAATGCAACGTAATCCTTAGCCGCGGCGGACCGGAAAGAAAGGATGCTCCTTGGACAGCGAAGAAGTAAAGAAGAAATGAAGGGAGGGTCTGTTCAAAACCACACGGATGAGGGGCCTAAAAAATATGACCAAACGTTTTAGAGAATAATTATCGAAACCATTCTTATTTGAAAAAAATCGACGGCACCGTTTTGACAAAAAGAGTATTCAAAGAAGAGAATCATAGGCCAGTGATTTAAAAAAAATCTATATCAACTTGACGGAATCGTAGTTGCGCCTGCTGGGCACAGATGGCGCTGGGAGATGATACATGGCGCGAAATTATGAAATGTATAACACAAACTGCATCATATCACCATGCCGCATTCCCTCGAAGTTGCCACAAACACCCAACACCCCAAAAATGATCCCCAGGGAGAAGGTCGGGAGGTTCCGGTTAAATAATAATAATAATAAAAAAGTTGCCACAAATGGGTCAAACACCCACGTCTATCCCCTTTTACTGTCCGACTA